TCCATGTGCCAAGTTTCATCAAAATCCAATGAGTGGTTCTTCAGATATCAGTGGAACAGTCTTGGAACAGCTAAAAATCAGCTAATTATCATGCAAATTAGGTAATTAATATTCATAGATTTTTACCAAAACCTAATCAGCTCTGCGCATTATCCCAAAGCATCTATGTACCAAGGTTCACCAAAATTTGATTAGTGGTTCTTGAGATAACGGTGGAACAAATAAAGTGACATACATACATACATACATGTAGACATACATACAGTACAGACATACAGACAGGGTAACTGCAAAGACTCCCTTTTGTGCTTCGCACACGGGAGTCAAAGAACAATAGAATAACCCAACGTTTGGGTATGCTGAAAGTGCTTGGAATTTTACCATACATGTCTTAGGGTATATTTCCCACAATTCATTCGTACTATCAAATATGAAAATCACATACTGACTTCTGACATTTTATTAATGGGCAATATTTACATATGGTCATCAGATGTCTATTCAAACTGCTATGGATTATTTTATATACTAGAATGCGGTGATAAATCCCAAGCAAACTGATATGTGTTGATCAAAAAATGAACAAAATGTAATTTATTGATGATCAAAACCTTGTTCAATCTTAATTTAAACTTTTAAAAATTTGAATAACACAGTACAGTCTGTATCAAAGTTCGGCTCTCGCTCTTCATCATAAAACGTATTGCATGCATACTATCTTATGTGTCCACTCCTTTTTACTATAGCAGGATTCATGGTAATTTTTTTTAAATGAACAAATTAGTCACCTGTACTTTCATCCATGACTTAATCCACCATAATTCTGCCCATAATATTATTGACTATTTCAAACCTATCCATCATTCATATTAAACAAGACAACTCCACAATCAAAATCTTTTTGTTGAACATACCCGTACAACATTTGGCCAGTTTTCGATGACATACTCAGGTGCAAAAATATGGAATAAAATCCCGGCTAAAATTAGGTCAATTATCTCACGCAGCTCGTTCAAAAAAATGATTAAACAATTAGTATTGGCAGATAACTAGACACGAATGATTTTGTTTGCCAAGTTGTTTATTCATTCATTTTTTTTAACCTGATTTATTTTTCCAAAACTTATTTTCTTAGACTCAGAAATTCTGTATGGCATCAGGTTGGATTTGGCGGTACCACTTTCGCGGATGCCCTGCGGTGTTTGGTGGTGGTGGTGTCGGCAAAGCGTGATGCCATACAGACATATTTGTTCATTTATTGATTAATAAGCTATATGTTTATTCAACACCGATTTGTATTAACTTTCATATTCATTTGTTTAGTTATTTATTAATTTGGTTAGTTAATCTTCATATTAATATACTTATTTTTGGCCATCTACTATATACATTATAATTTACTTCCAATGTATATAGGAAATCAGACTAGACTAGCAGTAAGCTATTTTCTGATTTCCTTTTTACCCAATATATATATATGTATTTTTCTTACCATTTGTTTTTCTGTATGGCTTACTTTTGTTATTTTTTTTTCAGTGTTTCTTATTGTTATTATTATTATTGGGTAAATAAATAAATAAAAAAAAAAGGAAAGATTTGATTGCACTAACAGAGATGGGCAAGATTAATTCCGAATTTGAAAACTCTGAGCAAACATATATTACACGCTATGTTAATAAGCAGGGACACTACCAAAAAACCAGTCACAAGACCAAAACAAACCAGTTCTGTCACATGCAGATTCATTCCTTTTACTTTTTTTTGCAATTTTTCAAATTCATTTTCAGAATTCATGCGACTTCATATTTGGATCTTCATCATATAGCACCCTAGTTGAATACATGTACTTTTATTTACCTGTAATTCATAGTGCCAAATTGTATGCTTTTATGGAAAACTTATAACCATGAATACGTGTGTTGACGATTTATCTATATTAATGTTTATACTTAGCATATAGCATTTTCAACAAAGTGAGACCTGATCTATTTAGTCATGGTCTACTTGAACATGATATTATCACAAATCTCTTATATATCAAAATAGTGACTCAACAACGAAAATTCAAAAGTAAACAAAATAAATACAGGGCAATCTGCACTACAGTACTAAACCTGACCCTCATCTTGCATATGCTTGACACCTCATACAACTATAGTAGTCTGAGTTGACATCAACCACCTTTACAAGGCTGTGTGGAAGACTTTCCAATGTACCCCTACCTCTAATCCTAACTCTAACCCGATCCCTTCCCTCTATTGCCCTTCAAATTAATTGAATAGGCCTCTCTTGAGAACACATAGTTATCTAGAGGTTGAATTGAATTGAGTGGGGGTGGAGGTTTAGGGTTGGAGTAAGGGTAAGTGGGTGCATTGGAAAGTCGTTCCACAAGCTATAACTTGATATGAATGGATTAATAAAAATACTTTTTAATAAACAACTGAAACTGTGTATACCTCTGAGCAATTGTCTAAAGTTATCCTTATCAAGAGAAGGTAAGAGTTTCACCATTGATTTCACTTCTTTCGGAATTGTAGATCCTAGAAACGAAGTTCTCTCTATTGCCCCTCTACCAGGAGGCATTATATTAACCACCGACATATCTCTTTCCTGTCCCCCAGTACCAGAACTGTGCCAGTTGTTCCAATCACTTTCGCCGACTCCTCCCCTTTCCTGTTATTTTGGTGGCTGTTTGTTCGGTATGTGTTTCCAACATTGGCCTATTTTCATTATTGCCGTTGATGGCGTATTTAGATTATAAAATGTCGTATTCAATTTTAATATTAAAGTTAGTTCATTCCAGTAATTTCCCGACGTTTTTAGGCGTGTCTTAAACTTGTTTTTATATAATATTGTTATAGCTCTGCTACAGATTATTTTTAAAAAAATCTGGCACAGCAGCTAAATAAGGACTCTTGATGGCGCAGTTCTTCTGCAAAATGGCTGACACAATGAAAGAAGGAAATTTTGTGGCGTCATTGTCTCGCAGGTAAATACAACCACTTGGTCCATCATCAAAGTAACGACAATCGTCGTACGTAGTGTGTATAATTACATACAACTGATCGAGTTTTTTTTCGGATTTTCTGAATTATTTACATAATTTAAGAACTTTAATTCTAATAGGATAGGATAGGATAGGATATTTTATTTGGCACATACACAATACAAAGCTAGTGTAAAGTCCAAAATAACACAAACAAAATGAGCTAAAACATGAAAAGCAAATTTTGCTAGACTACTACAAATAAAAAGATCAGAACTTGAAATAATGTATATGTATCGGGCAATGCCTGGCGATTCGCTGGTTGAGTAATGGTCGTTGTCCTTCTACCACAAAGGGACTGTGCACATGGTAAATTTCGAAAAAGCAAAACAACTGCACAGTCGTGATGGCTGACAATTCAAAAAATGTAATCACTACTAATTATTGTACTCCTTCCTGATTTTTCATCGCTGCACTACAGTAAAAAATAATTAAAGTTAGGCCAAATCCGAATCAAAAGTGTGTTTCTGGTAACACACACTGTGCGTGGTCGCCATTTCCCGGCCTTAACCCAGTGTTAATCCACGTGCTTTCTCCGGTACAACATGGGTACAAGATGCGGCCATATATCACACCAACATTAGTTTTCTTTTTTTTTTTGTTCACAGTGAAGATGAAAACCTATCCAATGTATTACATTCGTTATTGATTTATTCTCTCCTGATAATATTTCTACCACTATTGTCTTACTTTATTTCAAAAACTATGATATTCGAAGGTAAGTAGATTATACATAGATTAAATCATTTCAACTAAAGCTAATTAAATCAACTACCCGAAAAAAAAAAACAGTTTTGTGAAATTTCAAAAATATTTAATGTCAAGAAATTTTAAATAAATAATAAAAACAAAATGAAACAAACTTGTGTGTATAAAATTGGTAAATGTAAATTCCAAGATGGCTATTTATGTGAGGAATATATTTTATACCCAGTAGTCAAAAATTTATAGTTAGAAAGTAAAAATGTTAAAAGATTATCATTGAGTTCGACACCACTAAGGCCACACCGACTTAATTGTATGGATGACATCCACGTGCGCATTAGTTTTCGCTTTTTCTC